CAAGCTAGTAGTTGGGTATTCATCTTGTAGTTCGGACCAAACACACCAGCATACACAATATTTGAATTACTAGCTAGTAGTTGGGTATTCAGCTTGTAGTTCGGAACAAGATCATATATAATATTTGAATTATTAGCTAGTAGTTGGGTATTCAGCTTGTAGTTCGTACCAAACACACTAGCATACACAATATTTGAATTACTAGCTAGTAGTTGGGTATTCAGCTTGTAGTTCGGACCAAACACACTAGCATACATAATATTTGAATTACTATAGCTAGTAGTTGGGTATTCAGCGTGTAGTTCGGAAAAAACACACTAGCATACATAATATTTGAATTACTATAGCTAGTAGTTGGGTTTTCATCTTGTAGTTCGGAACAAAAACGCCAGCATACACAATATTTGAATTATTAGCTAGTAGTTGGGTATTCAGCTTGTAGTTCGGACCAAACACACAAGCATACACAATATTTGAATTACTAGCTTGTAGTTGGGTATTAAGCTTGTAGTTCGGACCAAACACACCAGCATACACAATATTTGAGTTACTAGCTAGTAGTTGGGTATTCAGCTTGTAGTTCGCAACAAATACGTCAGCATACATAATATTTGAATTACAAGCTAGTAGTTGGGTATTCAGCTTGTAGTTCGGACCAAATACACCAGCATACAAAATATTTGAATTACTAGCTAGTAGTTGGGTATTCAGCTTGTAGTTCGGACCAAACACACCAGCATACATAATATTTGAATTACAAGCTAGTAGTTGGGTATTCAGCTTGTAGTTCGGACCAAACACACCAGCATACACAATATTTGAATTACTAGCTAGTAGTTGGGTATTCAGCTTGTAGTTCGGACCAAACACACCAGCATACACAATATTTGAATTACTAGCTAGTAGTTGGGTATTCAGCTTGTAGTTCGGACCAAACACACTAGCATACACAATATTTGAATTACTAGCTTGTAGTTGGGTATTAAGCTTGTAGTTCGGACCAAACACACCAGCATACACAATATATGAATTACTAGCTAGTAGTTGGGTATTCAGCTTGTAGTGCGGAACAAATACGCCAGCATACATAATATTTTCTTCATTTTCGTACCATGTAACACACACTCGTATGCCCTATTATCAAGTCATTTACCATATATGTACCTTGTTATTAGTATCATACAGACACGTAAATTCAAAACTGAATTTATTGAACGAGTTAAATAAAGTTATATTATGAGAGCCTCTTGCCAGCATGATATTATTTTATTCAACGAGTTCCATAAATTCAGTATTGAAATTACCCAAATATAATATATTTATCACATATCCAAAATAAAGAATGTGATCATTTTTCAATGAGGCGCCTATAGTGTAACGCTAACATTTAGCGCGTCTTTACACGCAAATGACGTCACGTCAAAATATATGCACGGCCGTGCAATACTGTTTTTACGGAGTCGCAAAATCGGCACGGGTATGTGATAAAAACGTTTATGTCACATATTTATGTTCCATATATCATAGGTTTGTGTCACAAAGAACAGATTCGTGTGTCATATAAAACTTTCTTGTGCAATATTCCATAGATTTCAAATAGCATACTTTCGTGTCTGTCACCACATCATCTTGTGCCACATACCATACGTTCATGTCATATAACACACGCTTTTTACCACATATCATACGTTCATGGCATGTATCACTTGCTCACGTGCCGTATAATATACGTTCATGCCATATAACACACGCCTACGTGCCGTATAGCATGTGCTCATGTCAAAAACACACGCTCACGTGCAATATATCATGTGATGATGTCATGCAGCTGTGTTCTCGTGCAATATGTTGTACGTTCGTACCATATACCACTTGTTTTAGTGAAATGTATCATACGTTTGTGCAATATATAGATCTACTTGTGAATAAATTCTATTTGTTAAAGCATATATGTTTCGATATTTACCTTAGATTCCATGAGATTTAACGCATTTCGCTGTCTGTTTAAAATGAGCAGTCCAAGAAACACCAATGACTGCAATGATGATGAATTTAAAAATACTTTTTTGAAAGTGTACACAGTGCTTCTAGTGCGTGAATGGTAAACAAAAGTCAATTCCCCGTTGTGCGGTACGCCGTGCACAAATGACACTTACAGGAAAATACATGTAAAAAGAATATGTGCGGTACATCTGTTTATTGCGCGTCGAATTTAATAACACCATAAATAATAAATTTATATTTTAGGAAGTACCGCGCCACATATTAGACACATATGACAGACACATGTTTTAGATATTCTTTTTCTGAGCGGGATGTTTTCACGAAGGCACTTAATATGTTCCGTATGAGACGAAACATAGTAGTTTGTATATAAACAATATAAATCAAATTTACATGTATATCGACCAACCTTTATTTGAGCCGCGTCACGACAAAACCAACATAATGGGTTTGCGACCAGCATGGATCCAGACCAGCCTGCGCATCCGCGCAGTCTGATCAGGATCCATGCTGTTCGCTTACCAACTCTATAACAAGTTGAGAAACTGATAGCGAACAGCATGGATCCTGATCAGACTGCGCGGACGCGCAGGCTAGTCTGGATCCATGCTGGTCGCAAACCCATTATGTTGGTTTTGTCGTGACGCGGCTCATTTCTTTTGCAATGTTTATTATATAATAAATCCAATTCAAAGCAATGTACAAATATACATTATATGTATGAAACTCCTTATATATACATGTATAACACATGTAACTCTATGTGCGTAAATGCAGTATTGTATTTCATTCTCTTCCACCAAATTAATAATTTTAATAAGTTCATATGACAATCTATAATTATTCTTATTATTATATTAAAATACTAAAATCCACGGTTCAGCCCCCAAGGGAAACAAAAATATATCAATAAATATACCGAGAAAACACTACTATTGAACGCACGTGTTGCATTCTTTATACGGTTACCATAGTAACCAATAGTACACAGGTAGCCACCAAAACTGGCAGCGTATCGACAAATCTTGTCAGTATCATACCTGGATAATTCACAATACAGAAACAAAATGGCTGTTAACAATGTTTGTATCATTTGGCTAGGTTTATTTCTTGGATTATTAGATGTTTCTACCGCTCTGGTAAGTTTTTTTCCCTCAATCATTTCAAGATTATAATTATCGTCTGCAAAACTCATGTTGCACCTGGCAACAGAAAAACGTGTCGCATAATCAATAGGTACGTAATACTAAACCGAAGCTGTTTCACTTTGTATGTTCATTTTTTCCATATGTAAATCAGATATAATTTAATTACAGCTTTGTAACATACAGTATGTGTTATATACACTCATCTATATTGGATACTATAATGATTAATAGTTAAAAGAAATGCATGCTGATAGATTTGCATTGAATATTGTACAAGTATTCGTATTTAAAATGATTTCAAACGAGAGAACGCTTTTGTAAAGTATAGGACTGAATCTTTCACTAGTATAACAAAAGGTAATTTCACTACATTATGTTGGAAAAGAAAAGTTGGTTATTTCAATTTTTTTACACAACATTTGCAACATTATAGCTGGTATACTCTACATGCAGTTTTACACATTAATTGTTAGTCTGTCTTACTCGTGTGACCTATTCACCAAATTCAGTACCCTTTAAGATATATAGATAGGCATTTCTTGACAAATTAAAGTCCGATAAAGTTGAATGCCCAAAATATTTGATACAATGTGAGTGTCTTTTGGAATTTAAAAAAAACCCATTATGATTAAATATGAAATCAGTACTATAAATGCCTTGAATATGTTTACATTAATAAGAAAAAGGAAAATAATTTGAGCATGATAATATCAAATCATATCAGAGATGTTTTGCAGTATCAGCAGATTATATCTACAGTCTACACACATTATCATATGTATAGATCTACACATAACATGAATAAAACACGCGTGTTTACACTATAGATACAATAGCGACAATATGTTTCTTATCTATTGTTACAAACTGTTACCTTCACAAGGTGAGTTTGTAATCTTATTGTACATATCAACAGATAAATACAAATCTCAGGTTTTAGCATATCTACCTGCTGCTGTTGCAAAATAAAAGGAGTAAAACAATGCCAGAACAAGTTCAAAAGGCTATAAACGACATTCTTTTGAACCCGTGGAACCAATTCTATTCAATTCAATTCAATTTTATTCAATTATTTCATTCATTTATAAAAACACATTCATATGAATATAAACAGCTAACAAAACAACAAGAATTTTGACATCAGACATATGTAATAAAAAAATACAATTATGAGTACAATAAAACGATTGACACAATTTTATTATACTTACTGAATTATGCTCCTGAAATTGCTATTATGCTGTTGTACCTAGTTCGTAATAAAATCACTATTGTAACTATTATTAAATGTACTACATTATCGTCGTACAAAAACATCATATTGTGCCATGAATATGAATTATTCGAAACAATCGACACATTTTTTAGATTTATTTGTTTCTGAGATAATTTATATAAATTTTAATTTTAATAAATCATTCTGGTAATAGAACATTGTATTTAATTACCTTTATTTTTACTTCCAATCTTTTTATATCGAATTATAATCTGTTTCATATAATTCAACTCTGCTTTCTTCATATCTAGATATATATCGATATATTCCATCAGTGTGTGAGATAAAGATGAAAGCATTTTGGCATCAGTAAATTTACTATTTAAGTTTTATCAATTCTATAATATGAAATGCTATTAGTTAAACCTATGTAATTATTATAAAAGCATGAATGTATTGTAACTATATACATGTATATATCTCTCCATTTAAGTTTTGTAAGTATTGTGTATGCTTATGTTGTAAGAAAAAGTTGGCTTTTGAATTATTAGTTGATACAAATGAAAACATCATTTGGTATATTTCGGTTACTTGCATATTCTATCAATACATTTTAACTGGCTTTCTATCTGTGCTTGTTCTTCAACGTTTCAGTATGGCACAGTGTCTGTGTTTGTTTTAGTAGTATTTTACATTATTATTCACCAAGAGTCACACGTCATCGTTCTTAATACCACACATTTATAGCCATTATTTGTAGTTATAAGACATTATCAACGGATGTAAACGGAAAACAAAAGCAAATTACAGCGTCTACCTGTCATAATTATATTCTTGCTTCATGCACGTGAAGTGTTATATGCCACTTGTGCATGCTTTCATAAGTATCTTACTTGAAAAATACAAAGTAAATACTACAAAAGGATAACTACCCTGCACTCAACTTCAAATGATAACCACCTTAGTTTACAGGTACCACAATTGTCATAAATAATATTCGAAAAGATAATACATTACGTAACATTTAAAAGAAATGACGTTACAATCTCGGAACTAATTATTATGAAAGCAAAATATTTCAATTCTCAATTACTAGTATATCTTTGCTAGACTTTCACATTTGTTTGTTAACATGTATCGGAATGCTGGATGATTAATAACCTGTGCATTGTAACACCAGAGTAACACAGCATCTTCACAATATGATAGTATGCTAGATTGTTATACAGTTACACTTAAAGTGTTTTCTGTAGATGTTCACTGCAACAACGAATAAGATTGATTGCATATATTAACTGCATATATTATATTAATTTAATTAAAGAAAATGTTTTTTTTTTACATAATTGATGAATTTTTATTTGTATTCATACTTATTACTAAGATAACCAATAAAATAGGCTATGAATTGTTACTGCACAGAACACAGTTTTAATCACTTTATCAAATATATATTTTAGTGAATTTTCAATAATCCTTTTTGAAATAAATTTGCAAAACGTTGATCTTTTTCATCTGTAATTAACTTTATAATTTTGTAATTTATATTATCAAGATATCTAAACAAGTCTACTTCCTGTAATCGCATGAAACGTACAAGTTATATTGGTATATGTAAGGTATAGTGACCGGAAGTAAGATGTGCTTGTAATCGAATAATAGGGTACAGTGATTTCGTTTATATACTATGATTAAGATTATTGTAATACAAACATGCACAAGAATACACCAGAAGTTAGCCATATGTTGTAATGTATGAAGAAACATATTCCGGGAAATTGATGTGATACAATTTCCAGTGAACAAGGGATATCGATGCTGCCATGTTTGAGCATTTATTATCTTAACAAAGCATAAACTTTTGATCAAGTGTTCTCCTCGGTGTTCGAGATCTTTGATTCCAATACCTTTAGAGTTGTGGATTGAATACTTCTTTAACCGGTGCTAGGGAGTGTTGGAGTTGTTGCATTTTTATTGTCTCTCATGAACAGACTCAATAAAACCGAGTGTAAGCTTTTCAACATTGCTTTACTTGCTCTCGAGGAATCACTCCTAACAAAATATTGCTTTGTCGACACATCTGAAAAAGACCCGTTGATTGTAGATGTAGTTCATGCTGGTACTTGCTTCAACAGTATAACCAGTGATCAAACCATTTTAGAATAATGTTGAGATGATGTTTGTAATATCTTATTGTTAGGCTATCACATGATTTCTTTTTGGATTTAAAAGATTGCTTATTCGTGATTAAAGTACATGTAAATAAAATATCTATAGTTATTATGGCATCTAATGTTAAAAGATTAATAGAGTAGCACCAGCTGTAATTAAGGTTTTTGAATACAAATGCAAAATCTTGGAAGGAATATAGTTATTAGAAATATTGAAAATTATATTAACATCTATTGTCAAATACTAAACAGGCGGCGTGGCCGAGTTGTTAACGCGTCTGACTATTTATATAGGGATAGCTGACCGCGCGGGTTCAGGTCAGGACAAGCCGTTGTTTCCTTGAGCAAGAAAATTTATATTTATTGCTTAGTAATTGTTGGTTCCAGGGACGAATGAGAGAGTGTTTCAGTAAGCTTATAACTTCAAACACTATTGTACTAAAATTTACAACCATCAAATCAAAAACCTTTATTATGAAAATAGTCAAGACCCTTTTCTACTTGCATCTTATTTGGATAAATTTGTCCGGCGGTTGATATTGGTAAAGAGGTTAACATTGATATTACTATACAGTTTTGTACGACTGCGAGCGATTCCTTAATTCTAAACATGATTTTGTCTTTAGTGAATCAAAAGGATAAATTAAAAGCATATGGCTATACATGATTCTTTTTTCTCAATAATAATAAGACATCCTGTATATCAAACAGGTTAATAACAGATAATAATATTTAGTGGTTAATCACTCTTACAAAATCGCTATGAATGCTTAGTTCAAAGGCAGTGACTTGTCGAATTCCGTAACATACTTTTCATCTGAATACTTGGCAAAACTGTAATGTTAATAAATCAAAGATTATATGTTTGGTTATGTGATTTATTGCCATGCTTTCGTAAGACAAACACAAGATTAATGTTAAACACAAAACAAATACAATTATTATATTGTATGAAAGCAAGAGCAAGTCTGTAATTATTGATAACAATTAATTGTTTCTTATGAAAATGAATTTAAAAGAGATAATTTTTTTGAGACAAATTATTGGGAGAAAGCAGCACGTGATCTTAGCAAGTTGATTATATGATGTTATCAAAATGCCTTCCACTTGTTTTATTGTGAACATAATAAAAAGGACATTAAATCTGAAGTTTTCTTTTGAATTAGAAAACAATAAAGTGTAAATCTATTCCAGGATTTTATCAATAAGTAGTTTGTTCTTAATTGTTATCTGTACAGAAAGGTTTAGATATAATATTTCATATACCATTGTACAAATGGAAACTAAGGTCATACATATTTGGATTATATTAAAATCTTTTTTCATCGTTTACGATCTCATTTTCTTAGCATTATGATTTTATCTATATTTCTAGAAACTGTTTCTGTCTTTTCATATAATTTTCCAACTGCCTGCAAAATAAATCTCAACGCCAGGTAATCACTTCTTTTACAAATGTGTTTAAGTATAAGAATGATAACTATACAGGGTGTTCGGTAGACTCTGAAACTCAAGGGTCAAGGACTTATCACTCAAAAATTTTAAGGGTCAAACTCCAATCTTCAAGGGTCAGCATAATTTGAGTATCATAATCTTATTTCCAT